GCTGCTGCAGCAGCTGCTGCTGCTGCAACAACTACGACGACCACCACCACCGCCGCCGCCGCCACAACCACCACCACCACCACCACCACCACCACCACCACCACCACCACCACCACCACCACCACCTCTGCTACCGCTACCGCTACTTCTACAGCTACTGCTGCTGCTGCTGCTGCCACTGCTACGGCCACGGCAGCGGCTGCTGCTACTACTACTGCTATTGCTACTGCTACTGCTGCTGCTGCTGCTGCTGCTGCTGCTGTTGCTGTTGCTGTTGCTGTTGCTGTTGCTGTTGCTGCTGCTGTTGTTGCTACTGCTGTTGCTACTGGTACTACTACTGCTGCGGCTGTCGCCACTGCTACTGCTACGGTCCTGATAGAACATGTTCCAAGCCTGCTGTCGAGTCCAAGTTGAAGAAGTTTAGGTGCGGTCTGGGCATCGTGGAAGGACATACGGAGATGTTCGCGTGCCGAGCTTGAGGTAACCAGGGTTTGGTCCCGGACCTTCCAAAAGGCCGTTAGCTTTGGGGGCTTAAGGGTTTTCCGTTTCGAAGCCTCAGAGCCGAATCATTTGAGCATTTCCGAGGAGAGAGTAGGGGCTCTTACATAGAGCAAACATGGTTCCCCCTAAAAAATGTTACGGGCCACCCATTCCTATATGAATCCTATAACCCTGAGCCCTGAACCCTAATAACCCTTAAATCCTATAAACCCTACACCCTGAACCTTGAACCCTCATAACCCTTAAATCCTAAGCCAAAACTGAAGGCGCAGAGAGATCTTGGCCTCTTGGCCCTGATGGGCTACGGCCTCTCTACGGTCAGCGTCGCGCTCTACGCGCTCCTCGGGCGGGAAAGCGCGCAGAGTGCGGTGGAGGGTTCAGGGTCAAAAGGGGAGTCTGGGTTCAAAACCCTAAACCCTAAACCCTGAACCCTAAACCCTAAACCCTAAACCCTAAACCCTAAACCCTAACCCTAAACCCTAAACCCTAAAAGGGGAGTCCAGGGATGTCTGGGGATGTCCAGGGTTCGGGGCTTGAAGATGGGATAGAGCTCCAGGCTCAAAAACCAAGGCTTAGAGGGTTCACCTGCGTCTCCCATCAAAAGTTTCGTTTGTTTAGTCCATGTGCCTGTACACACAGGTATGTGTGTTTGTACTATTCTTTCGTTTTTGTTTTGTATGTCTGTCTGTGCCTGCCCTGAACCCGAAGCCCTAAACCCCACAAAAAACCCTAAAACCTACCTTCGCAAAAGCTCCGAACCACAGAAACATCCACCATGCTCCCAGCCTGCATCTCAGGTTCTGGCCGAAATCGGATCCTGTGGTGAAGAAGGCTGAGAAGCCGTAGCGGATCAAACTTGCAGAGTATCCGGTTCAGGCTGAACCCTATGTACCTGTACCCTAAACCCTAGGCCCCGCTACCCTTTGAGCCCTCAGCCTGCAACCTTCACCTTCTACCCCAAGATCTTCAGCTCCCAAAAGCTTTAAAACAGCTTCCCGAAACCAATTAGATGCCCTACCAACAAGTTCACAGAAGGTCTCCGAACTCCCTCTCTAGAGCCTTATAGGTCGCAGGGTAAATCAGGAGCTGGTCCGCTCAGTGTGGCCGTTTCGATTTCACCCTGCCGCCGTCGCTTTTCTCTCCCAAGCAAAACGGGAGGAGGTTTGTGGTTTTGGGGTTCTGGGTTTTCGGCTCAGGTCATTGAGAGTTCAGTAGAATGTAGTTAGCTAAGTCAAGTCTTTAGGCAGCGGAGTACTGGGGTGGGCTTCTAGATCCTGTCGGCATCTGCTGTACACGGGGACGTAGTATCGAATTGCACGCAAGTGCACTGAACCTATCCGGTTGCAAGGAGCCCACCCGTAAACCCGCTCTTGCAAAGCAGAAACCTCAAAAGGACTCTTATGTTCTACGAATCCCGAAGCAATCCTATGTTCACTGGGCTATGAAAACCTAACCTTTCAGCACCCGGAATATCACAGGCCACGGGAATGCATTGTAGCGCAACACCCCATGGAAGTAAAGTAAGCGCTTGCTGCCATAGAATGCTGAAAGAACACTAGTGTTGGGGGAGGTTGGTTTAGGGTTTATAAGGCTTCAAGGTTTGGGAGCTTCCTATATACTACTGCCACAGCTCGTAACAACTTGCCATGGGAGTCTACAGTGCTGCTCTTCTGTACGGCTTCCTGAAGCATAGCATCTTTGGAGCTTGGTTTCTGGTCCCAGGATTATAGCCGAAGTTTCGTGACGAGACCCAACCACCTGCTGTACCCCAAGCAGAAGACTGAAGCACCCAATCGACAGAATATGCCTGGGCCCTGAGTAGATGCCCATAAACCTATGGGCTCGGTAAACCGCCCAAAGATTTCGAGCAACTCCCCGCCTCCCTCGAAGAGTATTCAGCATGGCTACCCGAGGCCTCAGGGCTACCCGCGGTCACTCGCCGCCCTGAGCTTGGCACTCAGGGGGCGCAGGCAACGGAGGGTAGCAACACAGTCAGATGAGTCTTCGCACGTTCAAGATGCAAGTTTCAGAAAGAAGGCATGAGGACATGTGCACTGCAGCCCCTCCCCAAAAAGAAATAGAAGCACCCGTAATTGCAGGATCCCCCTTGAAAAGGATCTTTGCTGGACAAAAGCAGACAGACACAGCGCTGGATTGAGGCGAGGCTACAGGAGGCCGACAGTTCGCGGCCTTCTACCAGCCAGAAAGCGCGGTGCTGAGGTTAGCTTAACGCTCAACTCAAGCCTACAGAGTTTCGTGCTTCTGGGTTTGAGGGGCTTTTGGCTTTCATAACATGTCCACTACAGGGGGTGCAAAATATGCTTTCTCCGCGACTGAACGAAGTGGTTCGAGATTCCGTGCATCATGATAGTGGCAACAACGACGGTCTGGCAATCGAGAGCTTGTGGCGGAGGCGGAGGCTGATCTAAGCCTTTGTTCCGTTTGCCTTTCAGATGTTCGCCCTATGCTCGGGCCAGGTCTCGCCCTGACGAGCGCGTTCTGTTGTCCTTTCAAGTCAAAATGCTGCATTCAGCAATGTTCTCTTCAGGACGGTAAGGCTCGAAAACCCCGACATGAAGCTTGTAAACCCTAAACCCTAAACCCTAAAGAGCAATTGGCATGAACCCTAAACCCTAAACC